CTTACTATGTTAGACAGTGCCTGTATGTGTTATATGTTAACGGTCACGTACGCCACACGCCGAAGTTATGTATGCCTTTTACAGGTGATTTAACTATTAATGTAATTTTCAAATACCATTTTACGAAAATGATTTGACATCACCACAAATAATTCTCATTTCGGACGACTTTCTTCATTTGCTGACGTATAAACGAAGACTCGTAATTTTGGGGGAATATTACTGGCGTGAATTTGATTGAAACAGGCACGGATCGGCAAATTTCATTCTATCGTATTACGAAAACAGTAATTTTGTAGGAATATTACTGAGATAAATTTGAATACCATACGGGAATTAAATATGAATAAGCGGTTTCCATGCAAGATACACCCACATTTTGCAAGAGATGGACAGAGAACAAGCTAATTAAAAAACGATTTTTCGTACAACCAGGGGCCATCATCCAGTATGTTACAGTCCGACATGCGACAATATCAAAAGGAACCAAGATCATTGGGATATAAAAGTATAATATAAAAGTTTCAAGTCGAATAAAAATTGTGACATTAAGAGGGACTACAAGATTAAAACGTGTTTTCTCGTATATTCAGGGATCATAATTCAGGAAGCTACGATGTGATATGCGCGAATATCGAAAGGATCCGAGATCTTTGGGATATAAACATACATTTTAAGTTTCATCACAATCGGATAAAAATTGTGTTTCTAGAGTGTCCACAATGTTGGAATTACATACTTTTACACTATTTGCGTATGAGGAGCGGCCATTTTGTCGGGCAGTTTCGCTCCTATTTTCAAACTTAGTTGTCATTAGGGCGTAACGGTGATGTATTGAAACGGTTTTTAAAATCGGATAAGAATTGTGACATCAAGAGGAACTTCAAGATAAAAACGCGATTTTTCTTTAAATCGGGGGTCATATTCCGCGAATATCGACAGGGACCAAGATCTTTGTGATCTAAACATAATTATTTTAAGTCTCATGAAAATGAGGTATAAATTGTGACTTCGAGGGTGTCCACAACCTTGGAATTGCATACTTTTACACTATTTGTGTACGAGAAGCGGCCATTTTGTCCGGCAGGTTCGATCCGATTTTCACGAAGTTCGAACTCCGCTATCATTAGCGTTAGCGGTGATATATTAAAACGTTTTTAAAAATCAAATAAAAATTGTGACCTCTTGAGGGGCTACAAGCTAAAAACGCGACTTTTTGTAAAATCATCGGCCATAATCCAAGAAGTTAAGATCCGATATGCGAGAATATCGAAAGGAACCGAGTTCCTTGGGTTATAAACATACTTTTTAAGTTTCATAAAAATCGGATAAAAATTGTAACCTCCAGTGTCCACAAGCTAAAAACGTGATTTTTCATAAATTCAGTGGCGAAGTTACGGTCCGATACATGCCAATATAAACCTATATATCAAGTTTTGTTGAAAATGGATAAAAATTGTGACCTGTAGAGTGACCATAAACAAATTGTTGACTGACGGGCGGACAGGGGCGACGACAATATACGCCCACACGAGAATGTGGGCGTACAAAAATAGCGAGGTGTTCCTATTTTTATTACGTGTGGATTTGAATATTTTGTTGACATGTGATTTTTAATTGTGGTATGAATCAGCCTGCTTAAATAACGATAAGAGTTATACCCCTTTATTTTTCGTAAAAATGTCCGACAAGAACATTTTTGAAATCCGAACGCTAACTCATTTGTTTTTCAATATTTTCGAATGAGATATGGTTTGTCGATAGAGCAACGTGTGAACTTCAAATTGTATCCCTGATGACCTCGCGATTGAAGGTCATGGTGAAGGCTAAATATTTCATGGAAGTTGGGTATGTTTTGCATGATTGTCGACTTTCATCTGCTCTAACTCGATTGTTTTTCAAAATTTTGAATTGAAATTTCTCATTTTTTATAGAAAAAAATGTTTAAATAATCAGGATCGACATTTTAGATCGAGAATCTGCGAAAATACATATATTTTGATATATTGACCCTTTGAATAACAATATTGGCGATTGGGTACCTGAATAATCCACCGATGTATCCCAAACAAAACTAAAGTTTTTGGTAACTTTCGACACGAATTTTCATACTTTTGCAAGTTAGCTGACAACGATTTTATTTCTTATGTTGTTAGAACTGGTCAAGCTGCAAATAAATTGATTTTAATTTTTATCGCAAACCCTGCTTCAGTGGCGTTATCGCGATCTGAAGATAGGGTACATTTTAGGTATCTCCAGACACGTATCTTGTGTAATCTCTTGACACCTACGGAAAATGAACCTGAACCGGGTGACCATGATAATGTGATATGGTAAGACCCCGACTATCACGAACAACCAAAACCTAGTTCGCCAGGTTCATGCAACAGCGGTAGTAGTGCGACAAAAATAGCTAAAATTTGGCCTAAAAATGACAAAAATCAGCCGAAAAACGTAATCGGCCTGTATCTCGGAAACGGTTGATTTCTGAAATCGGCGATTTTGGCTGGGGAGTAGGCTCGATGCGTCGACCAAACCCTGTGGGTATGAACTCAATCGGCCGACCCCCACCTTCGAACATCTGCCTGATATTGCATGGTTTTCTCGTGGAATGGCTCTTAATGGTTTTAATAGATTGAATTTGTCAGTCTTAACATAAAGAACACGTCTTATCTGCGTTCACATAATTTCATTTTCTTTTGTTATGGTTCACATAAAATTTCCATCTATATGAATATCACGGACGAGTTAATATCACGTTTTATTTAGTTTGTATGTTCAGATTAATTTCTATCTATTTTGTATATTTTGACAGTTGTTTGTACTGTGAACATACCGTTGTCTTCAAGGAAACCATTATCAGGATTAATGAGTTTATCCCAGTCTATAAATCTATGACCACAAGGTATATGTGTATCTTTCCCTCTTTTTACTATATGTTTACTAACATTGTTTATATTTAACAGTTTAACTGTACGATCAGCTGTAACAGCTTTAACTGTCTTATCCTCTACCTTTCTCAACCCCAGGTAAGCATATTCTTTGCCTAGGAGGGGGCATCGGGTGTTTTCGCCAATATTTAATTTTATGTCAACTTCACAATTATTAATATAACTATAGCATTTACTTGACAATAATCGCAATTTTCTTCTGGCCCTAAATCGTGTTAGTGCAAACTTTTTGCTTGGAACTATCTGGATCTGTGTTCCTGGTGTTAAAAGCTTTCTAAAACTGTATAGTTTGTTTATTTGGTAGGACCATGTAGCGGAATTGTGTTTCTAAGCAAGCTAGAAATTTTGGCTGCAGGCCTATATTCAATGTTTACGTTTGTAGCTATTTTAGATAGTCTCTCGCTGAGAGATCTAGGCTATAGTCGAACTGAGACTACAGATTATAAATTATAATGGATAACTGTTGTGGTGTTTCATGTAGTTCTTTTATAAACACGTAGCAATCCGGGAAGTCCCAACTGAAGTACAAATATTGAAGTACTGCAGTGACATAGAACAGTTTTACATAGTTCATGTTGGCTTTTGTGGCCTACCATAGTGTCCATATCGTTTATCTGGTCCCGCTACGCCGGATTGTCTCCAAAAGTTTGACACAGCGTTGTGTCATAAAATAATGAGATTTAAATTCAAGGGCCATAAAATACAAATTATAAAGTAGTGCAACAGTATACATTGATTTTCTCATAGAAATTAACTAATATTAAACATACATTATGCAAGAGCTAAATCTGATTATTGCAAGTCTTTATTTAGGCTTTAGTTGTCATAGAAATTATAAATTAGATCTTTATTTACACAACAAGCAGAAAATCAACGCTGTAGACCCACGGGTGGCTTGGATTCAGCTTGGATTTAAACGGGATTTCGTTGACTGATTTAATTTTATATGGCGTCGAGAGCGGAGATTAACCGTTACGTTGACGTCATAATCCCGGATCGAGGCTTGATAGAGTGTACGAAGCGAGGCCGCTGTTGAGCGATGCCTTAACAAATGACATCTAAACTATTTAAAGTGCAATAAACTAAACACAGATAATGACACATTATACAATTTCTGGAGACCGTGTGATGACTAATACAGACGGACAGATCTTCCTTCTGTCTTAATAATATCATTAAAAATATTTTTATTTCCCCAATAGGCCCTACGCCACTGGTGTATACCTGGTTACCTATAGATTTATCATAATTGTATTATAATATGTATAATATTATGTCCTATATTCAATTGATTTAATGCATGTCCAAAATACAAGTAAGAGTGAAAATTTACCCTCTCACTCATTTTGTCCATTTGTTATAAAAATCCAAAAAGGTAAAACACGAATTCGGATATGATGACACCAGACAAAAGACAGCAGAGAGTTAACGCCTGTCAATCAAACGATCGGCCATACTAAGAATCGGTGAAGATGAAATTCAATCCCATTTCTAATCAAAAATTACACTGGTGATAACTATGTTCAGAATAAAGTAATTTGACTGAAATTTTCAATATATTCTTCTTTCATCATCTAATTTTGAACTGTTATAGCAAGAATGACTAACTCCTTATAAAAATCTCCCATAATGTATCTTTAATATCTTGACTCAATGACATCTTATGATAAATTAACATAGAATATTATCAGATAAAATAATCTGGAACGAAACCCTCCAAATATGTTTTATTAATTGAAACGACCCGTAGACTATGGGCCACAATTCTCTACTCCTACCTCCACTTCTAACATCATGTCATCGCATGTAGTTATTTTGTCGACTAAAACTGTGTTATTATCATGTCTTTCATCTTTACCTGTAAAATATGATAACTAGGTCAAGGTGAATATTATCAAGTTACGACAATGACGTTATGAAACGATATGTGTAATCTGGGTGCAGCAATCAGATTATCCTACATATTACAAATATTTATTACAATCATAATACTCGGGCTTGTATGCAAATAATATAACAACCACTATAAACATGTAGGAGAGAAATGGGGTTTAACGTCCATTACCAACCTAGGTTACATGTAGGGTATGTTACAACTACCATTACCAGTATAAGATCATTACCAGTCTAGGTTACATGTAGGGTATGTTACAACTATCATTACCAGTATAAGATCATTACCAGTCTAGGTTACATGTAGGGTATGTTACAACTATCATTACCAGTATAAGATCATTACCAACCTAGGTTACATGTAGGGTATGTTACAACTATCATTACCAGTGTAAGATCATTACCAGCCTAGGTTACATGTAGGGTATGTTACAACTATCATTACCAGTATAAGATCATTACCAACCTAGGTTACATGTAGGGTATGTTACAACTATCATTACCAGTATAAGATCATTACCAACCTAGGTTACATGTAGGGTATGTTACAACTATTCATCATACGGTTAAATTTACTTTGTATTTTCTTCTGTTGCCAGGTACAGATTTAAAGGGGGCGAGATAACATCAGTGAACAACTATATAAAAAACACGATCTATGGTCTACCGGGGCGCTCAGTGTATTTTTTTATGCATTTTATTGCGTGTTTTGTTGATATTTATTGTGGAGTAGATCCGCTACTGTCTGTATGTTCACCCATCAAAGTTTCACGAGTAGCTATAATGTCGCTCAAAACTTTGTTTTTTCCATGTTTTGAACAAACAACTTAATGTGAGTGTATAGTATATTGAAGTTGTGAAACGATGCGTATATATAATGTCATATAACATTCTGTCACGTATTTATTTATCAAATATCTGACTGTAGGATACATTGAAAAAATAGCATTTTCGTCGTCAAAGCGCCTTGCTTCTTTAATTAAACATATTTTATTGTCACATAAAATGGGGTTTAACGTCCATTCGACAGAAACTAGGTCATTTTGGATTAACACATGGTTCAATTTTATTTCAATAATTACGTTGCGCGTAGGGGTCTTTAGCAGTGGGAGGAAACCGGAGGGACCGGAGAAAACCCACGAGGATGGACAGGCAGAATCGAAACCACGGCAGTTGACTCAATGACAGTTATGTTTGGCTCACTATGAAAATAGTTTGGCGATCCCTGGACGTAGAGAGAATTTTGAAATTTTAACGGGACAATTCGTTACGGTAGACATGAACAATGCGAGAACAAAAGTTAACCTATGCGTAAACAAATAGAAATGAAATAAAATAAAATGAAATTTAAAATCCTACTGTTCTGCTCGGAACTGGATGGGCTAATGAAGACGGGTATACGCCATACAGTGTGCTATTAGGGAAATTCGTCCGGACAGCGACACTACGGTCTACTTATATATCGAATTCAATGTAGCTTTAACGTGCACACCAATGTGTACACGGGATCCCGGTTTTTCATCCCATCCGAACGACTAGACAGCTGTCCATGTCAGGTCCTCCGTCCTCCATCACCGACAAGGGGGGGAACCACTTCGGAAAATCTGGATGACCTTTCTCGGCCAAAGCAGGGATCGAACACCCGATCTCTAGGATAGCGAGCCAGCGTCTTTTCCAATTAGCCATCGTGACCCCCTGTAAACTAATAGAGCCATTGCGTCTCAATGATTACCAATGCAGCCCATTTCTGGCCGCGCATTGCCTAGCCATTGCGTAACTTACATGTATACAATGCGCGAACAGGGCTTCACGTGATGATGTGTACCACCGAAATGGTACGCCTTGCTACGGCGCATTGCGCGAGTTATTGCATATATATTTTATTCCATATGATTGGTTATTTATAATTTACGTGGAGTGGTTGAACTGTCTTATATACTAAGCAGCAAAAGAAACGCCAGGTTGGTATGTTACACTGAAAAAACGCATTGCATATAACTTGCCAAATGTTTTCATTGTATATTTGTGACCCCTTCTCCAACTTACCTGAGCAATAAGGCTCCTTCCCAAACACAGAATCGAACCCAGGAAATTTTCTCAAGAACGCAACCTGACTTCTGAGATGGTAATGTGTTCTCCATGATTTTCATATAACTCATGCTGCACGTGCTGTTAACCGGGACCAGCCCTATGAAATGCACCCCCGTACCTGGTTGAATCATTCACACTACAATGTCAGCAGCATGCCACGACTCACGACCGCTCAGTGGAACCATGTGCTTGGAAGACTCGACGCTGGCCACACTGCCCAGGCCGTTGCCAATCACTTCCAGGTCAATGTTCGGACCATCTACTGGGTTCAGCAACGCTTTCGGGTCACCAACACCACGGATGATCGCCCCCGAACTGGTAGACCAAGGCTTACAACAATGCGACAAGACCGCCATGTTGTGCGACATCACGTGCAGCATCCCTTCACACAGGCATCTGTGACAGCACGTAAGACAGTGGGAACACACAGAAGACCCATTCGAACCGATACAGTGCGCCGACGTCTCACCAGATAGAACATCAATGGCCCGATCCTTACGCCTCGCCATCGACGTGAACGTCTTCAGTTTGCCCAACAACACCAGAACTGGCGACACAGGCAATGGAGAACTTTCTGTTCACAGATGAGTGTCGGTATTGCGTATCTATTGCGGATGGCAGGACCAGAATATGGCGTCGACGTGGCCAACGTTATGTGGTTTTCCAAAATCTTGTTCCAGGGAGACGAGGCGGCATCACAGCAGTGCGCTATATCGATCAAGCTCTCAGACCCCAGGTCATACCACATTTCGCACGTCATCGGAACAACGTTTTCCAGCATGACAACCCCGTGCCCACACCGCCAGATTTACTCGGGGTATTCTACAACAGAACGGTGTCAGTGGAAAACGTAATAACGTCGTACCGGGACCACAGTCGATGGATTGCGCCAGGCTTTTCTGAGAGTGTGATTCCAGGTCCAATGGCGTTCCGTTCATCAATCGTCTGGTCAACTCCATGTACAGACGCTGCGCTGTTGTTTTATGGAATTCGAGGTGGACACACCAGATACTGATGTATAGATTGTGTACAGACTAATCACTAAATGCGTCAACGTACTGTTCACAAAAAAAAAATGCTTTGATCCATTTAGTAAGTCGTTTTCTAGAATGTTTTGATTAAAGTGCCTCTCTGATTTTGAAATCGTACTGCGTTATATTTGGTTGTTTAGTATATATAAAATATAAATAAAGTTATATAGTAAGGGAATAGAGAATATAAAAATATGAGACTGGGTATAAAAAAAAAGGAGAAGACAAAGTATTGTATAAATATTTATGAATTTGTAAATGGTTTAACGCATGTGCATTAGAACGTAATGTCTGACATTGAGTCAAGTGGCGTGGTTTCGATACACTGCTTGATAAGGAGTATGTTCATCTGTCCAACCATTTGGGTTTTCTCCGGGTCCTCCTAATGCCAAATACCCTACGCACAAACGAAATTATTCAAATATTTTTCATTTTGAGGAATTAGACTGAAGGTAAACCGTGGTACTCCAAGATCACAATTTATCGTCCATCTTAATTTACCGTCCTACTTTTCTGAATCTCTTGCCAAATCGTATGGAAGACCAAACACCTGTGTATTCAGTGTTCTTAATTCTTAGTTCTTAATTCATTATCCGTAATTCTTATTTCTTTATTTGTTGTCGTATTTCGACATTTGTACACTAAAATTAACATTTGTACACTAAAATTAACATTTGTACACTAAAATTAACATTTGTACTATAAAATTAACATTTGTATCTTAAAATCAATATCTGTTTCACAAATCAGACATTTGTTTCACAAATCAGACGTCTGTTTCACAATTCAGACGTCTGTTTCACAAATCAGACGTCTGTTTCACAAATCAGACATTTGTCATATCAGATCTGTAAAATGTAATTTTGTTTAATTGAATTGTATTTTAATATAAAGATAAAAATTATTTTAGTAAATCAAAAAAATAATCTACATTTACATTTCATCATAGACATAAAACGAAAAACAAATCTTGAACAACAGATTTCCAAATACAAATCTCCAATAAATACAAATCTTGCAAAATACTTCTTCAAAAACATTTCTTCAAAAACATAATGTTCTGGTTCGATGAATTTCGAGAAATGGTTTTGGAGAAATGGTTTTGGTTGTATTTCTCTGATGAAATGTAAATGTAGGCTAATTTTTTGATTTTCTTTAAAAAAATAATTATCTTTATATTAAAATACAATTATGTTAAACAAAAATACATTTTACAAATCTGATATGACAAATGTCTGATTTGTGAAACAAATATTGATTTTAAGATACAAATGTTAATTTTACTGTACAAATGTCAAAATACGACAACAAATGAAGAAATAAGAATTGAGAACTGAGAACACTGAATAAAGCGCTGTTTGGTCTTCCATAAAATCGATGTTGCTAAATTTGAGTAACACTTAAACGATTTCACGAATTTCTTGGAAATTACTCACTCCACCTCCAGCTGTTTCTTAGAATTGGTTTGCTGATTTCTTTGTAAAACAGTTTACTATTACCTGATTAAATACAGGTTACAGCCATGTTAAAGAAAATTAAATCGTTACAAATATGGTAAAAGACCCCTACCCCTCCCACGCTACGAAACTTGTTACGCATCTAATCTAAATTCGAGGTAATTCAGGATATCAGTTTCTATTTTGTCAAAATAAATCTTGTATCATTTTAAGTTTATTTGTATTAAAATACCATTCTATTCAGTCATGCATATACTGACTTGTGTGAATACACAAGCTTGTATTTTTTACTAATACATAGGCTACATTTGGACCATGGGCTGGAATAGCAGGAAAAACCCCTAACATCCACCTGGCCAGTATGTCTATGGGAACAACAAAGAGTAGATAACTGGTTGCTAGGTGTTGATAGTAAAATACAATAAATCAACCCAAATACCTTGGACAGGTAGCCGCGGTAGCTCAGTGAGTAAGTCGCTGACGCTTACCATGAGGTCTCGGGTTTGTTCCCGGTGTTGACTGAAAAAGTTCCTCCAGATTTTGCGGCGGTTTCCCTTGTCGGTCGTGCAGGATAGGGGGCGTGGCAAGGAAAGTGTCTACTCGTTCGGATGGGCGAAAAATACATGTAAAAGATCCCTTGACAATTGGAATTCGGTATAAGAGTAGGCCGTAGTGTATGTCTTTATTAGCTAGTCGGAGAAAATGTAGGACGTCAAATCCCATTGCATTTCATTTAACATGTAGGCATATTCTTTATTACGATTGTATATTATAGACTGTAATGTTTCATATACCTGAGCCCTGTTTCTCGAAATCTTAACTAAAGATAAAATCCAAATTTTAGTAGATACGTCAATTTTGATTGGCTAAGCACTAAAATCAATCTAATATTATCCAAATCAAATTACTAGTATTTGGATTTTATCCTAGTTAAAATTTTGTGAAACGGGCCCCAGGTAGTTATATTCTTTATTACGATTGTAAATCATAGATTGTAGTGTTTCATATACCAGGTAGTTATATTCTTTATTACGATTGTAGTGTTTCATATACCAGGTAGGTATATTCTTTATTTCGATTGTATGTTATAGATTGTAGTATTTTCAGAGAACGAAAATATCAGATAACAATTTACCTGATTAAATATTCATGGACCAAACCGAATAACCAACCAGGATGTAATTCAATCTCTTATACATAACATATACCATCTCAGTCTGTAATTTAATCAACCAAAACGATCAACCTAACACTAACACGACATTCGTTGAAAAATATGGGCGGGCACCTAGAGGGGGTCTGCAGTCGATACATCGCCCCGGGCTCACGAAGACCCGAGAGGCCCATAAACATATATTAAACTTTATCTACGTCGACATGGCCAGTATTCGTGCCGCAGAACCCTAGATGCGATACCTGGTGCCATACTCTGAGAGGTGGGGGGTAAAATCGGTTGTGCTCCCGCACATAAAAATTGTTTCAGCGCCCCTGATCATGAGTGTAGCACGTGAAACAAGAACCGCTTAGAGCGTTCTTTTGTCAATATCGCCCAAAATATTGTAAAAAATAAACCGAGATAGATAGCTATTATATAGATAGTATATTATATACATGTTATTCGAACTTTTAATGATGTAAAAAATGATATATTTAGGGAGTCCATTGATTAACGTATTTACAACAAACGTGTATGGTTTCTCATTACGGTGGTGTTGAATGGCCGAATGGTTGACGTGTGCATGTTGTATCATAAGGTCTGTCATTGAGTCAGCTGGCGTGCTTGCGATTCCCTGGCTATACGCGTCAAGGAGTTGGGTCATCTCTCCAACCTCGTGGTGACCTCCCACTGCTAAAATACCCCTACGCGCAAGAGAATTATTGAAATAATGTTGAACCATGCGTTAGTCCCGAAATGACCTTTTTTGTGTCGAGTGGACGTTACCCCCCCCCCCCTCTCTCTCTCTCTCTCTCTCCCTCTCTCCCTCTCTTCTCATTATGTTGACATGGATAGACGATTTATCACCCCTGTTCTATACTTAATTCGTTCGGACGGGACGAAAAAGCGATGTCCGGGCAAAATTGCCTTCACAGCACACTGTATGGTGCCCTTCTTAATTTGCCCAGTCCATACCGAACAGTAGGATGTTAAATCCATTTCATTTCACATTTAATGTACAGGTAGAGTGACGTGCAGAGGTTTGGTTATGCCATGGACCACTGTTGTATGCCCCTGTACCAAATCCTATGTTGTATGTATCTAAGACTCCAGTACACAAAAATCAAATAACAAAATCAATTAAAATGCTGAAAAAAATGTACTTTTATCAAATTGAAAAAATATTGGCACACGATCTGAAAAATGTTCGCCACCCTTGGTTTAGAGGGTATAAATGTGTTATGAGTATAGATACGGAAGTGGTACCAAAGAATAAACCCAGGATAAGTTCCTTTTAGTAGAATGTAAGATCTGGAAGTATTTTTATTTTTCTCAGACTTCCTGAAGCGGATGTTAGAATAACCCAATTCTTTCTAGATTTCATTTGAAAGCGGTTGACTAATGCAAAAATTAAACCGAAAATTAATTTCCTCAATTTTGTATGAAATACAGTTGTCTTACGGAAACTGTTACGAAATCTTGCAGGACTTTAAAACATTTTCACGTGTGATTGCCATTTTTTTGTTTTAGAATAAATATTTTTAGTTTCAGATGGAATTTTATTCTGGTAGAGGTCTCTGTGTGGATCGTTATCACAATTCTTTAGTTAGTTCTTGTTCAGACAATTGCAGTTCGTTCTTACATGATCAAAAATACCCTATAAAACAATGTGATATCTAGGGTTCTATGGGTTGCTATGTATACCGTTTTGACGTGTTGTTTGTCAATTTTGGCATAGAATTCCTGTTTATTAGGCCCATAGTTCAGCTACTATTTTCGATTCCCTCATTATATTTTCAAGCGATTTCTTGTGACTAATTAGTATAATGACTTATTATTAGGCAGATCATGTTAGTCAGAATTTCATTAAAGCATAATTTAAAATAAATTCCACCGGATTTAATAAAAATTGGTGAGTAAAACTAGCCTACCAAAAAAGAAAACAAATGTGTCCATAATGTCACTGCCTAGTTACAAATATATTTGGATACCTGAAAACGGTTTTAATTAATCTATGACTGATATGATGTTCTACTGTTATATGTATTTCAGAAATGTGATTTCATAAAAGATGATGTTTGAAAATGGTGTGATAGTCATGTCTGCAGAATTCCTTGAAGATATCTGCCAATAAAGATTTAAGTTGAGGAAGATCATTTAGCACAAAAAGTACCTTGTAATATTTATACGCAGTAATTCTCCTTGATAATTTAGAGGGGGTTTATTATCCATTCGACCACACTTTTCGACCAATCAGAATCGACCAATCTAATTTGTGCTACAATCCATGTTAAAATGTATATCCTACTAACAGCATCTGTAATAGATGCCGAATGTTGATAAATATTGATCACATCTTTGTTATTACTGATGTATTTATTTTAGTCACATAGATCTTCGCTAAATATGGCGGAGGGAGGCGATGATACACATACCTGTAGTATCTGTTTAGATGATTTTACTAAACCTAAAATACTACCATGTTTTCACAGGTTTTGTGAACATTGTATAGACCATCATATCAAAGCTCATTCACATCTCAACAAGTTTAATTGTCTTAATTGTAGAACAGTGATTCACGTACCTGATGGTGGTGCAAGTGGCTATTCAACAAACTTTTACATCCAACCGAAAAATAAAACGGAAAAAACATTTCTGTCGGAGACACAAGACAAAAGAAATAGAATTTTATTGTCGCGATTGTTCTGGTGCTACTTGTAGTAATTGTGTGATATTGGATCACAGAAATCATACAGTAGCTGATCTTCAAGAGGTTGACCAAGAAATCAGAGGAAAGTTGAACATTATGAAGGGGGAGTTAGTAGGTAAGGTTGAAAAACTGGAGACACACTGTGAATCATTAACCTGAAGAAGTCAGAAAACATGGTGGTGACATAAAATGTGAAATGAATAAAATTCGTGACGACGAAAGTAAAAAGTTACAGACATTACATGACGATATGATCCAAATGAAAAGTTCTCTACAGAACAGTTTGAAATATATGAATCAAGTGTTAAATGGTAAATCTACATTTCCAGTTGTAGATGCGTTAACCAATGTACAAACACCGACTGAAAACAGCAGATCGACCAGTTTAGATATACCACCAGTAAGATATGTCCATTATCCTATGGTAGATATAGATGTTAAAACATTAAAACTACTACTAGGTGAAATAGAAACAATGGAGTCACCAACCTGGACATCTAGTTTTAGTTTGAATCGGGTGAAGACAGATGTCTACTACTCTGGTGATGATGTAATGATACAAGGAATGCCATGGTGTGTAGATGTTAGACATCTTTCAGATACATCAACATTAGGGTGTTTCCTGCATCTGAGAGGAGTAGATGATAAAACAGTTAAAACCGTTACAGCTAGTTATACACTAAAACTATTAAATATAAATGATGCAAGTAAATCTATAGTGGGACAATATACATATACATTTACACCTGGTAATGTTGGATATGGTAACCCCCGCTTTATAGAGTGGAATAAACTAGAGGATGTGAAGGGGGGGTTTATAACTAACGATAAAACATTTACTGTACAAGCGTCTGTAAAAATAAACAACATAGAACTATAGTGATATTTATATTACAGAACATAATACGATAGATGGGTGTCATCATAATACAAGGACATATCTCTATTGTTAGTCCAATACAAGGACATATCTCTATTGTTAGTTCAATACAAGGATATATCTATGTTGTTTATACAATACAGGGACAAATACCTTTACTTTAAAATATGTTGTTCAATCAGAAACATTTAAGTTACCTGTATGTGAAATAAATAGATTTTAAAATTTATTTTGAAACTAATATAATATAACGTAAGGTATGTGTCTATGGTTGTGTGTGTGTAATATTAACTGATACAGTGTAAAGTATGTGCCTATGGTCGTGTGCACAATGAGTCAGTAAATAACTATATATTAACTGTGTAATGGTATCAGTTATGACCGTGTAATGGTATCAGTTATGTGTTGTGAAAGACAGGGAAATGGGACTAACGCATGGTTCAACTTGATTGCAATAATTCGCCCACTCGTAGAGGTCCTTATGAAGAAGGACCCGGAGAAAACCCACGAGGCTGGACAGGCGACATTACTCCTTGTTTCGTACATGTAGGGAATCGAAACCACGCCACATGACTCAATGACAAACCTTATGATTTCACGTGCATGCGTTAAACCACTAGACCATCCACCCAGTACGTTGTTACGATAAATATAAGATGATTATGTGACTCACAAAAACAAGATGATAACATTTTTTATAATTCAGACTATTTATATAATTTTATATAATTTATTGACAGAAGATGATTAGAAGATAATAATTGTGTTATGTAAAATGTGATACTTATAAAATAAAATAAAATGAAATGAAATGGGGTTTAACGTCCCACTGTTCTGCTTACGCCAGGCGGGATTTGTTTTTATAATCTCACACCCGATACAAATCGTGTTTACTTGTGCCTTTGTCTGTAATATCCATATTTAGCACAGTAATATCGAATATAGTCATTAAAACAAATGAAAATAAGCCGGCAATGGCACTCTGTACCAGTCTCCTAATATAACACAGAACAAAACCGACAATGGGAAGTTGTTTGAAAACGTATCACATACCTTGAGATAGTTGATGATCGGGCCCACACACAATTAAGCAGTTTTATTCTCCAAAATATAACTAAGATTGCCCTTATAAAGCAGCTAAGTCTCTAACTCAGTATCATCCAAAGTCTTCGACATTGAAAACACGAATCATTTGTCAATTTAAATCAACATTGATGTTGTGATCTTACCGGATAAAGATGGGCTTCTGATATCCAATATTTAAGACAAAATAAACATTTTACCATTGGTACACGAATCGTGTACCATAATGCGTTTCAGCGCCATTTGTAACAAGGGACTCAAAGAACGAGGCTAGACATATTCCACAAGTCATGTCAAACGGTGACGGGATATTCTTATCTGGAGAGCATGCGCAATAAATACTATCGGTGTAGACTGAAATAACCAGACGCTAGATATTGCCATTCGATTGAGACTTCAGGCGTATTTCGCCGAACATAACTCATTAGAAATTACAGTAAAAACAGAAACGATTGAATGTAAATCAGTTTATATACATTTCTATTACATTATTATATGAGTTGCGACCCATTTGTGTCATTTTCTAGGTCCCAAATATTAGCTCTTTTAAGTTATATTCACAGTTTAGGCCTTCTAATGTGGAATACGATATGATTATTAATAATTTCATGTATTTCTTATTCTTTATTTATATGTCATATCAGAAACAATTGTAACGTCCCATTTGGGGTTACAAATCCAGATTTCGTAACAGTACTGAGCGCATAGAGAGTTTATGTCATAGTGACAATATAAAAACTAGGAGTATTTTACGGTTGATCCAAATATAGTTGTACTGTTACTAGAGTAGATATATAATGTCATTTCAGTAAGATACGAGGTATTTTGTCTACGGCGTCCTAATTGAATACCCTAAATCAAAAGGTTATTTATTTAAAAGTAAAACAAATGTCTTAAACAACCATACTCTAAAAAAAGAAAACTGTGGTTGAAAGTGCTAGAGTATTTGCTCTGTTTAGTAGTTTTAAAAAGCGTTTCGTAACATTCGCAAAACTCTTCTTTTTAATTCCACGTAGATCTGAGATACTGTATGAAATAGAGGTCTGGGGTTTTATTTTTTCCATTTCGAAAGTGTTGAGCAGATCAGACATGTTGTTAATCTTTAACGGGTATGAAATTTGAAAAACGGTCATAATGCCATAATTCTGTGATTTTTTTTTCAACCGAATTTTGAAAAAGTTATGTTTTTATAGCCGGGGACATTGTAGTCGGGGCAATATTCACGTGTGATGTGTTGTTTCAGGGTTTTGGTGGACGAGAAACACGAATATGTCAATTGCATATGTGATAACAGGTGTGATAACTACCATGCATTGTTCCAGACATCCATGAATGTTATCCTTCATATATTGGGGGGTTTGGTGGTCGAATGGTTAACGTGTGCGCGTTGCATCATAAGGCATGTCATTAAGTCGAGTGGCGTGGTTCGATTTCCCGCTTATACCCGACAAGACTTTTGAACACACTAACTCTCCTTTTAATTGAGGTTGAATGCTCAGACTTGGTGTAGACGTTCATTAGGTGAATGCTTTGATGGAGTTCCGAAGATGAACATTTTCAGCTTAGGGTAAGCAGAGATAAGCAATCTGATTGGTTGATGCTTTGGGTCACGATAACTTTAGTTCTAATTAATAGGCTGGTTGGAGAAGGTGACAAATCCAGCTTTGTGGGAAAAAATTCCTACCCAAATGATTTCTTCATTTTCTGAAACAACTATTTCCCTAGTGTTCCAGAAAAATTTTCCCCGCGGATCGGAGTTGAGCAAAATTTTTTACAGCACTTTGAACTTTTCACCCCCTGGGTCAACATAATGAAAATGAAAACCATTTATAACTTCAAAAATATCAATTTTACAGTCTAGAAATGTATTATCAACATAAAGGAAAGTGATACCAAGGAATCCAGAAATGACGTCAAAAGTAACGTACGACCAAAGCCGTATAATATTATAGATAAAGTTGCGACAATTGTGAAGCCAGAAATTTCATATGACGTCATGAAAATATGACCTCAAGTGTAGTTAGACGCCATCTTGGGTCCCAAGTATTTGTACCTACTATCTATTTTATTGTTGTGTCGAAGTTGGCTTCCCCCGACAAGTATGTATATAGATATGTCAGAATACATTTTTTAAACGAAAAGTATAGCTGAACAAACTATTATTATTATTATTATACAGAAAGCGCACATTATTGTTATAAGAATAGTCTAATTCATAAGAAAGTGAAATAAAAGATACACCAAATAAAAGCGCAATTAAATTGCATACGCTTTTAAAAATCAGATTTTTTGTGCAGACGGGTAAAGTGAAAAATGAAAATTTAAATAGTAATTTGGGAGATACAACCTTTTTGCCTTCTAGCCGGCAAAATAAATGCCTGAAATTCCATGATTTTTGGTCTGGAGTCATTCCGGATTGTGTGTCAGTTTTCAGTCATCAATCATTAATTGTATCATCAATTTTTCGAAAATAGAAATTTCTTTAAATTGACTAATGGATAAAACATTTAAAATCAGTGTAACTTAAAATCAGTGTAAAATCAGTGTAATTCAAATAAAAGGTGTCTAGCGTGACATGTGTTTCGGGCATATGTTTCATCAGTGAAATTTGATACGAGATATCGCTCTCCGAAACTTTCTGGTTTCTTTTGCAATTTGTTTGGGGTAAGACGTTATCACTCCCCGCCCATGGGTAAATAATAATAATAATCTAATATATAAACCGCAAAAATTTAACAGATACAAATAATGTACATGTTATTCCACAGGTAGACAGATATTGAAGGGGCCCAGTGAAGGACTCTTGTGGCTATTTGCGCCCCATTTCCAATGAAATAATCATGTTGTTCTGATGCTCAACTAGTATCAAATATATATCGTGTCTGAGATTTGTTACAAATCGCCTCGAACATGTTCCACACATCTCAATTTTTATCAGCTTTTTTTTCAATCTATAAAAGCCTATATACATTCCTACAAAATTTTGTGTTTAGTTGTTTAGTCAAGTGAAACAAGAAAACGCATAGGCTAAATGAAACAATAGAACAAGTATACCTTTATAATGTCGACAAATATGTAAAACTATGAAATAAGATACTTCTAAGATATGATTCAACCGAAAAGTCCTATATATGCAACATAGATATATAATATCTACATTCAAGTTAAACGAACTGCATCCAATCATTTTAAATACCGGTATAGCGTCGAGCTGAATAAAGGATATGATTTATTGTCATTAAAGGATCTATGGGTGGTTGGTAAACAATGTGTAACTAAAAACTATGATATTATCTTTATTGCCAACATTTCAATGTACCTAAAATGAATTATCGCTGCCCTTTTATTACCAAATTAATGTTGTTTTTTTCATTTTAATTTGTATTTTTTAAAATGATATTCTTTTACCAAATTTGGCAGTCATATTGAAAGAAATGCCCGCCACCAAATGACAAATACATTTTTTTTATTGATGTTTGTCAAATTCGATTTTTCCACACATTTCGCTTGCATAACCACTCTCCGAAAATTCCTGAAGAACACCAAATTGAATTCTGTTAATCATGTCATTTTGGCCGAATTTGAGTATGATTTCGTCTGACATATTTATCATTGAACCAAACTGCATTGGTTACTTTTGCAATTTGTTTATGATGAACTGTAGCCCGTAAAACGTTATACCAAGAAAAAAATAAAACGTTTTGTTAAGTAAAGCTATATGACGCCATGACGTCATAGTTTTTATGGCGTTATAGTTGGGACACCAAAATGGCGCCTGTAAATGAGTTGTCGTAACTTTCCCTATACAGGGCTTTGCGTACGACGTCACCGTGACGTCAGAATAAAAAATGGCGGAACTATGACGTCACTGTGATGTCAAAATTCAAGATCGTTGACCACTTGATTGATTAGACAGATTTTGTTTTCAGTGTTGGCCAGAAACTGGGCTTGACTATAGATAACTGTGGTGTCCGATTTCAGAGAAATGTCACTGCTCCTATATTTAGACGTAGCAGCTCGGCGCTCGTGCTCATGATCCTTAATATTTGGTTCATAGACGCTGAACACGACGATTGGCGAGGGACCTGAAGCCAGGTGTTAAAGTTCAAGGCACGACAGTGCGAGTGCAACCAGAAGTTATTTTCCAAAGATGTATTACGGTGGCACAGCGCACAGGTACAGATATTCAACAGTTCTTCAAATATGAGTTGAGTGCCTTCCCGTCCTCACTGTTTGCAGGAGCTTTCATGCGACATGTAACCAAGTCTGATCTCGCTGAGCATTTGCTCAAGAACGTTTCACCCGTTTCGAACACTTCGCTCGCCAGTGAAATAACTGTCATTGATGGAGGTCTGCTAATCAACTTTGTAAGGTGAAATAAGGGTACGAATATCTCCAACATCTTAGAAAACTATCGGTCATTTGTAAAAAGATTTCCCTCGCCAATAGTCGTGTTCGACAGCTATGAACCAAATACGACAATTTGGTGAGGGAAATCTGGTTGTTTCGGATTCGGTAAATTGGGACGTCTTAAACATACGAACAGTGACATCTTTCAGGAAGCTAGCAAGACAATAGCTTCACCTGGAAGTTCCCAGTTCGAAGTATCTGAAGCTGGGGAAAGGTTATTCTGTGCAATGTCAATGTATGGTCA